AAAAACAAATACTACCCGTGGGATGTAACGATATGCTGTGAACATCTTCTTGGTATTGTTTGTCATTTCATTCTCATGTTTCAAATAGTTCCATATTCTTACCGTTCTGTCTAGCGTACCGAAAGTCATAAAAATCGGTTTCCAATAGCACAAGGCCAAATCTCCGATCGGTCCGGTATGAAACGATATACCAAAGTGTCGGAAAGGTACTTTCCCTGCCTGTAAAAACAAATAAAAATAATTACAAAAGCAATCAATTTAATTTATGCAGCGGAAAAATCATTGTGAAATATTACTTCCAAGAGTATAAAATCAATTAAAAAGACATACAATATCCATTTCTGGTCCCCATAGTTTCACATCGTAAAGTTGGCTACGTCGAGTTGTCGCCATCAATTTGGTTTCAGTCTTATTGATGGCTATATGAAGAACGGAACTTATAAAGTCGGTTTGAACTTTCCGAAAATCTTTATCCGTTATTTCGTATATGTTTCTCTTCTTGTATTTATGACTTGATATTTTTTCGAAAAAATGTACGAGTCCAGGGCGGCAAGAAAAAGCAAAACCGTTGCTTACAGTTGTCAAAGCTCTCACTGTCAAATCCGTTTCATTTTTGCTCTCTAGTTCTTGAGATCTTTCTAAAACCATCGCGGAAGTTATGGCTCCTAAAAATTCTCTAAAAAATTTTTTACAAATAAATATTAAATAAATTTCATTATGCATTCGGGGGGGGAGGGGGGAGTAAGTATCTTTTAATTAATTGCCAATTAGCTGAATTCTTACTCTTCTTTTTCCGCTCGAATATTAAAAAAATCTACGACATCCGCCTCAAATATATATTTTAACTCTCCTAAATCGATTATTAGAAGCAATCCATCTTTTGTACCGCACACGATTCGATCTGCGCTGAGAAAACAGGCAGAATGTATGTCATAATTTTCAGCTTTTTGAAATCCGTATTGCCGCCAAACTGCTTCTTGCAAGGTCATCAACCGAAATATTCCATTACCAAAAATAACAAGGGTATTGTTATCCACGGGAGAGCAAACCACCTATTGATACATGAATTTTATAAAAAAAAAAATTTTATTAATAAAACTAAAATTTGGGGTACAACAAATGCATGAACGTTTAAAATTAATGATTCAGCCCTCGAGTCGAGAAGCGACTTTAAAACGATAATTCGAAAAAAAACCGAGTTTAAATTTTAATTCGTAAATTCCTAAATATTTTTCCCTTATCGAAAATAATCAATAATGAAATTAATTTTAAATCAAATTAATCAATTTTTAAAATAAGCGATTAAAAAATTATAATATCATTAGATATTAAACTAAACTTACGCATTCCGTACATTATAGGCTGATAATGTAACACAAGCTTACTAAATAAATATCAATACGACTTAAAGAAGAATATTTTAAGCTATAAATTAATGCGATATGAATTTACAGTTTTTTCGTGTTTAATGCCTACCATACACTTTCCACAAAACAGAAGTAAAATTATTTTACCTTGCGAAAAAACACTTAATAACTATCACTGCCCTAAAACTAAAATTAAAGAAACGAACAAGAACATGCAAGATTAAAAAAGAACGCTTGCTAAGATGCCAAGCCTCCTTTTACAACTTCGGTTTACCGTTAGTTTTTTTGCTTAGAACGAAAAACAATCAAGATAAGATAAAAAAATAAAAGAATGAGTTTCTAGAAGCTTCCCTTCCAGAAATGCTGACTTGTGTCTACGATTTCATTGTTATTACTCATTCATTTACAAAAAAATAATATGCGCATTAGATATGGTATCATAACAATATTTATGAATACTTTTGTTATCGCTAAAAAATTTTCTTTTTATATTTTAATCGTAATCTTCCTCGTAATACTATTCGAAAATGAAAACGGAAAAAAAAATAATAATAATAATACACACCTGCTTACCTCGCGAACAGGATACAACGGATTAGTCGTATAATTTGCTTTAGCCGAAGTTTCTATTTTTCCTCTTTCCCAATTATAATTCAACATCATCCAGTCGGGATCTCCAGTGATTAAAGCAACATATCTTTCGTCATGGGAAAAACATGCTGATACAATTCTTTTTGCAATCGCATCGGGTGGAAGATACAAAGTTCGCAATCTCTTCATTGATCTTACATCAAATATATGAACGACATCGCCTTCTTCGGCCGTTCCTAAAAGTCCAATCAAATTCCTAAAAGAAAAAGAAACTAATTAATTACGGCATAAACATGTTTTATTATATGAATATAGTAAATTAAAATTAGTTTATTATTAAATTACCTATTCGGAGATAAAAGTATAAGTTGAACATCGTTGGTTTTATCAGGTAAAGAATAGGATTTTTGTACATTTTTTGTAAAGTTTTGAACTACTAATGTTTTCCCGCAAGGATATAAAACATCATCGTCTGTCAAATAATGTGCATTCTTACTGACGTCGATTCTGTGTCCGAATAAAACTCTCGGCGTAAGTCCAGGCGTCGACATGATTACTATAAAACAACGTTTTCACAGTTTCGATATTATTTTTATTATTATATTATTACCTTAATTTACTATTAAAACCAAATAGAAACATTATCGAATGAAAACAAAATTTAAATTGTTTCCCGTCGATATCACCATAGGAACACCCCCCTAAAAAAAAAAAAAAAAAAAAAAAAAAAAAAAAACAAACAAAAACTATAAAAATTGAAATGACTTTTTTTTTTATATCGTGTTTAAAAAAAATTAAATTGCATTTATAAAAATAATTGCTTTTTTTTATTTAAAAAAAAAAAAAAAAAATAGATTGAACCATGTTAAACCCTTAAAAAATTTTGTGCGTTTCAATAAAATTATTGAATTTTTTCAAATTCAAAAAAAAAATAGTTTTCATTAAAATTAACATTCGAAATGTTTTAAAATGAAACTTAATTTTATTATTAAAGTATTCCCGAATGTTTTTACTTAAAACTAAACAATATTTTTCATCAGAGAAATTATACTAGAAAACGAAAGACGATATTTTGATGGTTTTCATTAGTCCATAGTTAATTTTTTTTAATTGTGCAAAAAAAAAAAAAAAGGAAAGCAGATTGACGTATATACGGTCCAAAAAGTCTGAAATTGCGGATAATATAAAATGTAATTTTAAATAATGCGAAAAAGTCTAGATTTTCAAAATGTCCAATGTTATTATTGCATTCTTTTTTTTTTTTTTGTTAACCCAGGAGAAGTGCGATTCTCATTAATTTTCGATTCGGTAGCAGGAAAAGTGTGGGACTCAGCCAAAGACACTACCCAACTAAAACTTCTGGACGTGTTTCACCGTGTCGTTTTTCCCGGAGGGAGGGGCGCTCGCGGGAATTTTAACTCGCATTTAAGCCTCGACGCCCTCCTGAGCCAGAACCAACAGGTCTACACTTGCGAGGATGAGAATCCCATTCGAGAAAGATTCCGGTACTTTTTCCTTCCCCTTTTACCCTTTTAGAGACAGTCCCGAGCCGATCATCGTTCCCGACTCGAATTTCAGGGGAGAGAGAGATGTTCAGGGTCGCGAATACCGTTGATCGTTTATCTGTCTTCCTTCCACCACTCCCGGCTGTGATTATTACACACTACCTTAATTTTATTTTTTTTATTGTCGTTTTTGCCTAATTAGTTTTTTTTTTTTTTACTTTAATACGGTTATCAGTTTAAAACAAAAACTCGTTTTTATTTCCTGCAAGATTTTTTACTCAAAATAATGTGATAACTTAAAAAAAAATTAACAAATTAAATAAGGAAGTTTGAAACTCTAATAATAATAATTTTTTTTTTTTTGAAAACCTTATTTAAATTCCATAATATAAAACAGAATTTATTTAAATGGCTATTCTTACCCACATATTACATATTATTCCCATAAAAAATTTTTATATTTTCTTACCGACCGAAGAATCATATTTTATCAACGTGAGTTTAAATGTTTAAAATTATAAATTTAAATAATATAATAACAAAAGACAATTTGTTTTTCGTAAAGTTAGCCTAAATTTTAAACACTGTTCGTTAATTTTTTGCATTCCTTTTAAATGCCCAAGCGATTGTACCTTGAAAATAGTTTCATAATTTATATGAAATGACAAGTTTTTTTTTTAAACATTTATCATGAGTATAGTATACAAAAAATTATAATTATTTAATTACCATCACGGTAAAATATACAAATATGTCCTAAAAAAATTTTTATTTTTATTTTTAAAATTAGAAAACTAAGCTTTGAACTATTTAAACTTTATTTTATATTACTTAAATTTTATTTTATTTTGTTTTATTTTTGCAAAAAAGGGTTACATTTCGGGGGGGGGGGAAAATAAATAACTGAAAAAAATGAAAACGTGTACCAACAATCTAATCAAATTAGTTAATAGTTTTTTTTTTTTTCTAGATAATTTTCCCCCTTTTAATTTACAAAAAAAAAGTATTTAAAGGTTTAAAATTAAAATTAAAAAGTCAGTTAATTGAGAGAAGTCGACAAAATAAGAATTGTGAAAAATATGGCAATAAAAACAGCATTTATTATTTTTACTGTTCTTTTGGTTGTTTCTGGTAAGAAAAACATTTTTTTAATTTTTTTTTTTTTTTTACCTTTTTTTGTTGCATGCACTCTTTTTTTTTCGCAAAAATTTCAACCGAAGCAATATGCATTTAACAATTTAAACAGTAGTATATCTAATGTAAGTCAAACATTTTATTTTAATTTTTAAATAAACCTTACTTCACAATATAATTTTTTTCCTTAAACTGTTTAACCTGTAAAAAATACAAATTTTCTATTTATTATTAATTAGGAAAGGAAAATTTCAAAAGACAAACGGGTTCAGATTTTTCCGAATATTTCAATCAGTTTCAAGAACAACTGAAACCGATTGTTGGAAATTTTCCTAATTTTCCGAATTTCCCTAACGGAGTAAATACAGGATCGTTACCCAGTCTACCAAGTTTCGGAGGATTTGGAGGATCCAGTACGCAATCCCCAAGCAAACGACAAGTGAGTCCGAACACTATTGGAGAATGGATCGGTCAGTTGGGGCAGGGAAACAATCCGTTCACGGGATTCACTGGAAATTTACCATTTAAGCCGCCACCAGGATTTGGACAATTTCCATTTGGGGGATCTTCTGGTTCCAATGAAAACAATCAAAATGAATCTTAAATACAAATTTACAACATTATTTTATCATTGTATTTTATTTTTCTTGTTTTTTGAGAAATTTTTTCATTAAATTAAATAGAATTCATATTTTTTAAGTCAATTATAATTCCCTAAATAATTTACAAAAAAAAAAAAAAAAAAAATTATTTATTTCCTGGTATTTCCGTACAGGAAATCTCGTTATGTAGGACGGCCGACATTCTTCGGAAAATATTAAAGATGGCACCAACAAAATTATTTGAGCATTTATTCCTAAGGGATCGAGTAGAAACCTGAAATAAATGCTTAAATTAGTAGTTGGGTAGATGATCGGCACTTGAGAACATCACGGCTTCAAGAGCAACAAGACAATGACGGAACCGGAAATAATTCTTGTTCTTCTGTCGAATAGCCCAAACTCAGAAAGAATTACAAGAATTAATGTGGTACTATTTAGGTTATAAAAAGACGAAAACCTTATCTGGGATTTGGCATCCCATCTGATATTCAGGCATTGATTCCTTTGAAATCAGAGTAGAAACCTGAAACAAATGTTGAAAAAAAATTCCGACAAACACAATAAGATTTGGTGTGAATAAAAAGTGAAAATAATACTCATAATAATTGAAAATGATACTTTTTGTTTAATTTAAAAAAAAACAAAAATTTTTTTTTTTTTTTTTAAATTTTAAGTAATGTTAAAAATAATTTCGTCGCTAATAAAAAAAATAAATAAATAAAAATAATTATTAAAACATAATAATTATGACATGAAAATGGCTTTTGTGTTTTATTTCTTTTTAAATTTTTCATTTATATTTTCTTATTGTTACTTCTTGAAAAGTTTTTATAAAAAAAATTTTTTTTTTTTTTATGTTTTGTGACATATTTAAATAAAAATAAATTCATTATTATAATTACAAGAAAATTTATCTTTTCAATATATAAATATTTCTCAAAATACCAAAAAGTCAGCATTGAAAAATATGAAATGTTGGGCAACAACAAAGAATAAGTTTTTCTTTCTTTTTTAATAATTCCAATTATTATTTACAAATCGAAACAATGATGTAAAAAAAAATTTTTTTTAACGAACTCATACACACTCGCGCGCATATACACAAATAAATTAAACTTCTCTTTTTTAGCTATTAATAAAATAAAAAACCGAAAATATGATAATGATTAACAATAAAATAAAAAAAATAACAGAAGTAATATTAAATGTGAGGTACCGCAACGGTTAAATAATTCGAAAAATTCTAACGATGACATTTCGTAATAATCATATTTACAAAAACGTACGTACAACAGATACACATTTAAATTAATATAAAAACTAGCCTTTAAAAATTTCTGGTCGTTGGCTTGTTTTTAAAAATACAACGTCCCAGATCGTTTAGATCCGCTCGCAATTGCTTTATTTAAACTTTTCCTATGCACGCCGGGTTCCAGACGACTCGGTTTCACAGTTTTTCTTTCAACTATCATTGGATCAGGAACTGACGCCCCTGACGTTCCTCCTCCTCCCCCTCCTCTTAACTCCCACACTAAATTTGTTAGAGAACGCGGTCTGCTAATTTTTCTGGATCGAGGTAATTTAGCACCAGGTCCCGAATCCCCAGATGTTCTACCTCCGGAATGACTGGAATCCAATGTTCCACTAAGTTCCATGGCTTGTTGAAGATTTGTCAAACTCTTATATCTAGTAAATCATTTTTTAAAAAAAAATTTTCGAATTCAATCGGTAATTATCTATATATATATATATATATATATATATATATATACTTACACACATTCATAATGTCCTAATAAATTTTCAACAGTTAAAGCATCATATTTTTTTAAAATAATAAAATAAACAACACCTACTACTACTCACCTAATATTAAATAGTGGTGAACCGGATTTTCCTTGTCCTGAACTAGAAAGTAAATCCTTCACCGGGGAAGGACTTTTTTGTCTCAAAATGTGAGTCCCTCGCTGGCTATTATTTTTTATGTATAGTTTTGTAAGGGGTTTATTTTTTTCTCTGCTAATGGGTTCTTTTGAAGTAGCCACAGAAGATCGTCGAGTTCTTTTTTCAGCCTTTATCGGAGAGGATGTTTTTTTACCTGGAATAGTTTCTATAGGAGGCGGTTCAGGTTTTTTTTCAGAGGTTGAAATCAGAGCTATATGTCCTGGCGCAGATGTGGGAGACAAGGGAGGGGATGACTTTGGTAAATTTTTTAAAGAAGACGACGGTTGATTTTCAACTAAAGGAGATCTAACAGTTTTGGGCAGTGGAGCAAATCCTCTAATGTAATCGTAGATTTGATCGATTTCGTCGTAAATTTGATCGAGTTCACAATCGTCCGTGTGAGAAGACGGCAAACGATTTTCATCTCTATGATTGAAACTATGATTTCGAGTAGAAAAACTGTAATTGGCAGAATCCGAAGAAAAACTCTTTTTTATAAAATATCCCGCTTTTGAGGAAACGGAAAGGGAATTTTCAGTTTTAAGTAATTTAGAATCTCCTAATTTTCCATCCAGAACTTGAATCCTATTGGCTACATCGTTTAATAATTTTCCGCATTTATCAATTAGCCTTTGAAATTCTTTTAGTCCCTTGAGTTGTTCTTCGTTTTTAGTAAGTTGTAGTTTTAGAGAGGCCGCAAGAGGAAGAGCGATGACAGAATTGGTTTCTTTTTGAAGTGGTAAGGCAAACACGTGCTCCTCTTCAAATGTTGATAAAAGTCTCAATTCAGGAATGAAGTGATTAGGAGTTTTAAGACCGCGCGGAACGGTACCGTGCACTAAACGAACGGTCATGGGCAAACGTTTGCACAATAAATTACGAGCAGTATGAACGCCACTTATATTGTCTTCTTTGGCAATGGCACTAAATCTACCTTTTTGTTCAAGTCCAAGAAGAATCGTGTCACCTCTTGAATCCAAGCAGCGAAGATATCGTCCTTTGGCCCCTCCTAAAGTAGCTTCTCCAGCAAGAAACAAAGTTTCACCAACGGCTATAGTTCTAGCACCATCCGCGGTGATGCTCCCGTCATCCTCATATCTCGCAACAATAGCACGAACAGGTTCCCGCACTAAACACCCCGCTTCCGGACGTCTTTTGGCAAGTTCCGAAACGCTTTCCATACACCTAACAGCTCGCCCTTCTTCGCTCAATATTTCGAAAAAACCATCATAGGAATCAGGTATGGCGAGTCTCGGACCTACTCCAATCACTCTTCTACCCTCTTTCAGTTTAACGGCTTGAGCGACAATTTTTTTGCGTTTTCCGGCAGAAACTAATAATGCAGTACTTTGTAAGCCAGGGCACGGTAGTGATGGCACACCAAGGCCTCCGTATTGGCCTTTTATTATTTTAACAACTGCTGGTAATTTATATTTAGAAACACATTCTCGAAGATAGAGTCCTTCGTCTGACCATCGAGCCGCAGCAACTATTATTTGTCCATCCGTGGCTGCCATACCGAGTAATATGCAAACGTTTTTATTTATTCATCATCTGAAAAATAATAAAAGAAAATAAATCAAAATGTGAAATAATATTTAATTAGTAAGTATCACAATGATGATGTTAAATAATTTTTTTTAACGGTTTAAATATATTAAATCGGAAAGTGACCACAATAGTGTTTCCTATGTTTTTTATTTCATGTAGTATAATAATCAAACTACTCGTCAATTCCTCAAAAATAAGAAAATGTAAAAAAAAAAAAAAATATCACAAAAGTTATAGACCTAACTAAAATTCCTCCTTAATCATTTTAATTTTATACCACAATTTTATTTTTTGATTTCTTTTTTTTTTTTATGTTGCATCCGAGTTTTTAAGTAAAATACGGTTCGTACTAGTTTAAATCATTTGGCAATTAGCTACATAAGAAGCTTCACTACCAATTTGTTTCTTATTATTTTTTAAAATTTATTTGCATGGTGTCTCAAATTCTAAAACCATTGAAGTAAATTATGAAAAAAAATTAATATAAAAAAAATATATATATATATATTTACGGATAATACAATTTATTTATATGAAATGATATGGTTTTCTTAAACGAGTTTGTTTATATGAAAATGAGACAATGTAAAATCTAATTTTAGAGTGTATTATAAAAGAAGTATTTGTATAATTTTTGCACTTTTGCACTATTTATGTCACCGTAATTTAAATGCAAAAAAATAATAATATTTTTAATGTATTAAAACTTTTAATAGTTCGTATTATACATAAATGTCTAATCAAAAAGTACATTTAAAAAAATTAAATTTTAATCGAGTTTTTCAAGAATGACTTTAAAACTTTAAAAACTAATTGGCAAAGTTAAATTATTTTGTTTCTAAAACAAGGACTTGAAAATGTATGGAGGCGTCTCTTTCCAAGTACTACCTACTACTACAATATAAGCACAAAATAATTCAGGTTGTTGATCTTTTATCCTCACGAAGAATTTTTAAAGCCAACCCAACAACAACAATTTCTTTTATTTAATTTTTTTTTTTCCTTTGGTTTTTTTACATTCTAAATTAAACCGATTCTATTTTATTTACACTTTTATCGCATAAAAATTATACTTATTTTTTAAAATTATAAGTAAAAGTTTTTAACAGATTTTGAATTCATTGAGTATTTAGAAAAATATATGTTCTTTTTTTCTTTGCACAAAAATAATAAAACAATGAAATGATATATTTTCTTTTTTAAATAAAAAAAATTAAACATTTTTTTCAAACTGACAAAGATATTTTTAAAAAATGTGAATTGTCAAATAATTTTTATAACTAATACAAGTCATTTTAATTTATCTCATAAAATAAAAACAAATGCAAACATTAATTGTATAGAGAAAAACAATTTATTACGGGGAAACATAAACGAAAACGTTTAAAAACTGGATGATTTCATTTTGACCATAAAATAAAAAATAAAAAAAAACTATTTCTATTAAAATAATAAAATATTATAAAATAATTTTTTTCTTTTCTGTAGTATTATACAACTATTTAAATTGATTTTTTTTTTTTAAATGCTTTTAAACGCAAATTTGAATATTGATTGAAAGTATTGTGTACAAAAAGAGACAATTTATTTTTTGAAAAAAAAAAAAAAATTTAATTTAGATTCTAACTAAACATTGCGTGTATGTACTTTCTTTTATTTATTATATTTTTAAATTTATTTTTTTTAAACATGCCACGTCTTTTTTTTTTCTTTTATTTTTAAATGTACAATTTAAAAAATTAGTTTTTTTTTTCTTCTTAAATTTTTCACAAAAAAAAAATTTAAAATAATATTTTTTTAAGAGAAGTAAATTAAAATTAAAATTAACTATTGAGAAAATATAAATTTTTTTAAAAGTCGAAATTAATTGAACTTTACAAATATCAATTCATTAATTTTAAAATTATATTAAACAACTAATAGAGAGAAATAATATAATTTAAATGATAAAAAAATAAAAAAAAAATTTTTTTCGAAACTTTTTTTTTTCATATTAAAATTACATAACAAAAGAAAAACCCTTTATTAACAATTTTAAAATTTAAAAAAAAAAAAAAGAAACCAAATTAAAACAAAAAATTTTTTCAATAATTTTACACAGCCAGATTTCAAGGTGTGCCTTCACCAGGTCATTGCCTCGACTTAAGTGTCTACTTTATTAATTTAAAATCTTTTCTTTAAAAGAAATATATATACTAAAAATTTCAAATACATATATTCATGCATACTGAAAAATAATTATAAATAAATAAGTTTGAGCAACTTTAAAATATATTTCATTATTAGAGTATATATAATTGAATATTTTTTTTATAGTACTATTTTTCAATTTCGCTATTTTTAACAAAAGCAAAGCTACAATTGATAAATTGAATTATCTTATTAAACAGTTACTTAATTAATAATTAATAAATTGTTAAAATAAAAAATTTTTTAAATAAGACTTAATTAATTCATAATTTATAAAAATATTTTCATTTCTGAATTTCTTTTGGCATTTGATTTCCCATTTCCAGAATAGCGTCTTTTAAAATCTATCAAAAGTTTAAAAAAAATTACATATATATATATATATATATATATATATAAAGATAGAGCCGACCATCCCAATAACATCAAAAGCTCCTTAAAAAATAATTAAGTTTTAATTTATTCCCATAGTATTATGTTCATATTTCTTCTTAATTTAACTGAAAATTACTGCCTCAGTATCAGTAAGTAATTAATTATATATGTAATTGTTTTTCTAATGCTATTTTAAACTTTTATGATCGAGTTGATTTTTATTTTTTTTTCATTTTCATTAATAATTTTTATTTGATTTTTAATACAATATAAATTTGTTATTTTTCATAAAATTTTTTATTCATAAACTGATCTTATTAAAAAACTACTTTGTTACATATAATATTTACTACCGTACGTTTGAATGATGTAATGGTCGTGCATGAACTGGCATAAATATTAATATAACTATTTGTATACAAATTATTTTTAATTTTCAACCGCGTTAAACTCTGAATCTTAAATTTTTTTTTTTTTTTTTTTTTTTAATAATTACATTAACAATTGTTTCTGTAGAAAAATTAACACAACTTATAAGCAAAAAATTAAATGCCATTATGGGCAAGACATATACAATTTATTTTTTTCCTTTGATACATTTTAAAAATATCACTACTAAATATTATAATAATAATATTGATTAGATATCGATTTTTGATAATTTTTGTGATTGATTATTTCTCGTTAAACAATAATTTTTTCTTTGGAAATAAATCTGACAGCAAGTACGTAAATATTAAAATTTGAATTGAAAACTTAAATGAACGAAAATTATTACGTAAATATTTATTAACATTGATTTAAACTTTTCCATAATTTATTATAATAAAATAACGTAAATTAGTAAATTAGGTAGGAAAATTTTATTACGGGAAAAATGCGGAACACGTTTAACAAGTCCACGCCCAAATATATATTTTCTGGAAACCCGAAAAATCGCCTTAATAAAATAGAAAACTATATAAAAGGAATCATTTTATTTTAATTTCAATGATCTATATTTTATTTGAATTGTTTTATAACCGAAATACCTTTTGCATCACTGAAGCTTACATGTTTGTTATTTGTGTTTACTATTCAACGCAATATATATTTATTATTGTTGTTATTATTATTATCATTAATTATTTAATTCGTTTCCATCTGGTTTATTTTATAATTTCCAATTTTGAAAATTTAATAACTAAATTATTAATATTATTACCGTAATCAAAATTATTTGGCATTTACTTAATTGGAAAAATTTTTAAACTTTGGTTACATTTTACAAATTAACTTGTTTTCGTGTTTTGAAGAAATTTCTTTTTTTTAAACATAAAATTTTGAGCAGCTCTGTGACATCCCCATTTTATTTTTATTGTAAATTAAACATTAATTGTTCTTTTTTTTTTTTTTTTAATAAGATTTATCATAAATTACAAAAATATCATCACCATTTATAAAAGTTTATAAGTAACTTGGAAAAATTAAAAAAATTTCTAAAATATATAAATTAATATTTTTCCGGTAAAAATAATTCGGTTTTCAATTACAATGATATAAATCATGTTTTTTTTTAAAATTCTCTTAAAATAATAAATAATAATTTATGAATATATACATACATAATATGAAATGTTTTTGTGCTTTCCAAAGATAAAAAAAAAAACATGAAATTAAACAAATATAAGCAATTTATAAATTATTTGCGTAAATAATATAAGCATTCATTAAAATTAAATGAATTGAAAAATAACTCTTTCTATGACAAATGCAATTAGTAATTGATATCAAAACTATTTCACATGTATTTATTTCCTTTCAAAAAAAAAAAAAATTTCATTTTTTACTGTTGGGATGCTCATTGAATTTAATGCAAAAAGGCCTATAAGTAAAAAATCTTTTAACGCTTTCTGCATTTTTAGATCAGATGAAGGTGTTCATAATTTACCTTCATTTATCATTTTTTTTTTTTATTAATATTTTTTACCATTTCTTTAAATAAAAATTTCTGTGTAAAACAAAGAAAACATAATAATTAAAAACTCCGAATATTTATGTACTGCACAAAATAAAATGAATTTTATTTTTATATTTGAAAAAAATATTTTTACGCCTGCTTATATTTTTAATTTAAAAAAAAAAATTTTTTTTAATTTTTATAATTACGAAATTAGATTATTTTTTACTACTCTCATGTATATTTTGCTTAACGTAAATAAAATCTGTCGCAAAAAAACTTTTTTGTCGAAACATCAAAGTCAAGAGAAAAAATCAATTATGAGACCTTTGAAAAGGCGAACTCAATATTTCTTTGACATTTTTACGCTCTAGTTTTTACTCACAATAATTTACGAAAAACTTTAGTGTTTCTTTTTTTTTTGTTTTGTTTTTTCTGCTATAAAAGTTTTTTTTATAGTTC